GTATCTTTGGAGAATATGAAGGTTAGAAAACCATCAGAGACTCTCTTTTTCATCCTGCCTTATTACACATTTTCTTTTTATTACACATTTTTCACCAACCTCTTCCACTATTTGCAGTCATTGTGAGAAAGCTGTTGTGTGTTGAGCTGAATCTTTGAGGCTCACATGACGACTTCCAAAGGATTTCAATAAATGTTCAGTTTGACTCAGTTTGATATGAAGAAATGATCGAATGACAGTGTTTCTGATCACCACACACTGTTCAATGTTTGTGTGCGTTTGTGTGTGTGTGTGTGTGTGAGAGTGTGTGTGTGTGTGTGTGTGTGTGTGTGTGTGTGTGTGTGTGCATTTGTGTGTTGGGGGATGGAGCAGGCCTACAGTTAATTATAGAGTTTGGTTGGAGACCAGATGAGAACAGTGAGGCCACTGAGCTCACACAGGTGCACACACACACACGCTTGATGTTCTCACAGCACGACCACTGTCCTCATTTCTGTCAATCAGAGACCACTTATCAACATGCCTGTGTGTGTGTGTGTGTGTGTGTGTGTGTGTGTGTGTGTGTGTGTGTCAGTTTATCACGGTCTCTTCTTGTCATAATTCGGTGTGGTAGCAAAACAGAAGATCATTTTTTGTGCAGCGAGTAGACTTGTGTATGATACATCTGAGATATAATCTGGTTTATACTTGATCAGATGGTGTAAGATGGTCGTGAAAATCAGTCTGAGCCGTCTTGAGTCTTTTTCTTTGACATCCGAATAAAATAAAACATGTTTAAATTTTTTTTTTTTCTTTAGTTCTAGTTCTAGTTCACTTTCACAAGAACCAATAGGAGAGCTCTCTCCAGCACCAAAGCAGGTGGATAGTAAACATGGAGGGGGCACTCTGCAGAAGGCTGCTGAATGTGATATAGTTGGATTCTTACTTAAGTAGGGGATATTGTCTGCATGGCAACAATTAGCAACAGTGAACTGGTACAAGTTTGAGGAAGTTAGAAAACATGCCTACCTAGCTGCTGCTAGTTCAAAATGCTAACCAAGCTAATGTTATGACTATAGACTGTATAACACATGGACCACATTGGGTATTGACCCAATTTGATTCTGAACCAGGCTGTAAGCATGTTTAGAAAGTAACGTAAAAATGTTCATTTTATTATGAGACCTAAATGGGGTTTCCTTGGCTTTTGCAATCAGCCTCAAGTGGCCACTCAGCACTTCTGCATTGGCTTCATTTTTCAACCCCAGAGGATGCTGTTTTTAAAAAGATTATTTTATCTGATGTACCTGACAACACATGGGGTTCTTTATCCATGAGATTGTCAAAAAGTGTAACTACTATAGAGGATATGACTGTAATGTGGTGCTTAATTGAACTTGGTACTTGATATCTCTCACATGTAACCATGCAATGCAAAATGATGTATTTGTTGGATGAAGCATTTTTTATTCCTCTTGCACTACGTGATTTTAAAGGTTTCATTCATTTCTAACATAAATATAAAAACACAACATCAGCCATAACCACATTTTGGTAGTTTATTTTTAACCAGTGAGTTAAAGCCAGCGCTCACACGATAACTGTGCTATAATTTTATACGGACACCTGATTTTAATCTTCTTACAAGGCTACCTGTTTGTAATTTTTATAACATATAATGTCCAGTTGTTGCCCATGCAGACTAATAACACCAATCATCAATCATTTTCTTTTTCTCTGTGTGCCTTTACAAATATCTCTTTTTAAATAATATGAAGAGTGGCTCAGTGGTCCTCCTCGAGCACAGGCCTGTTTTTGTCCTCAGCAATGATACACACACACACACACACACACACACACACACACACACACACACACACACACACACACACACACACACACACACACACGCACGCATAGAGGCTAACTGTATTAATAGGAGTCTGTTTTGTGTCAAGCAGGTCTTAATAGGATCAGTGTGAGAGACATGGAGCTGTCTGTCAGTCTAAGTTCATTAACTGATGATAGATGACCTGTAGTATGTGTGTGTGTGTGTGTGTGTGTGTGTGTGTGTGTGTGTGTGTGTGTGTGTGTGTGTGTGTGAGAGAGAGAGAGAGAGGGAGATATGAATGTGTGCTTTTAAGGGAGTGTTTTGCAGTTTGTGTGTAAATTTCTCTCCCTCACTCTGCTGTAATTTATAGTCCTCAATCGGAGGCCTTATCAGGTGCAGGACACATGGATGCCTCCTTCTTACTCCTTCTCTCCTCCTCCAGGATGTCTTTCAACTCCTGCACACCCACTTGTATATTCCCCCCCCCCTCCTCTCTGCCTCTCTTCTCCCCTCTCTCTTTCAATCTTTCTCCTCTCTTATTTCCAATACTAGAGGAGGCCTTCTTTAATTGCTCTCCTTCTCATCCCTCACCATCCTCACCTCCACTTCCTCTGCATCGCGACCAAACTCTTCAGCTTCACTTTAAGTTCATTTTCCTTCCCTTATCTTCTCCCAACAAGTTTCCAAACTTCCTTTATTCCAGTAAAAACAGAGAACAGTATTAAGAGTACTAAAAGTTGATATGTGATGCCTAAATGTCACAAGTATAAAGATTGAAAATGGCTCTATCAAGGATAGGAGAAGTTTGTTTTCTCCTGATCCACAGCTGATCGAGTGTGTGTTTTCCTTAAATCTAAACCAGGGGCCAGTTCCCCACAGCCAACCAAGTGGGTGTTGTGTTCTCTTAATTAGACTGATTGTGAGTTCCTTGAATCTAACATCTAACGTTTGTGTTCAGACCCGACAATAGATCGAGAGTTTGATCCACAAATCCGATTTCACATCAAGTCTTTCCGTATAATCTCGTGTAAACCCATAAAAAATCTCTTCTGTTCTAATCTGCTCCACAGAGAAGTCGCCCAAAGGTACTCGTGTTGAGGTAGTGACTTCATGTAACTGAAACAGTAGATTTCTATTGTGCTATCACACACACATGCGCACACACACACACACACACACACACACACACACACACACACACACACACAAACACACACACACACACACACACACTCTCTGACACTCTAACACGGATAAGCTGACAGTCCAAATGACTCGACAATGAATGTAAGCTGCTCTCTATACACATACTGACACAATAGAGAGCCTATTGAGGAGAGATTTGTGCTTTACAATGAACCAGACTACTGTGGGTTCATGCGTGTGTGTGTGTGTGTGTGTGTGTGTGTGTGTGTGTGTGTGTGTTTGTGTTTGTGTGTGCAATGACACAATCAGACATCTCAGTCTACCTGGATAATATACACTTCACCCCCCCCCCCCCGGGTTTTTTTTAACGTCACTGAAACTCTTGATGTCAGTCTCCTCTAGTCCACTGATAACAAGTCATAGTCATGGCCGTTACAAAAATATTCATGTCTGACTTTTGATTGGTCATCTCTATGGTTTCATAACTTTGGATTACATGACTATCTCTTAGTTGTAATGTTGGGAAAAGATGGTGGCTACTGTTGGTTTTACACAGGATGTCGTCAATTCATTTTATATTTTTACTTTGACATGCTATGCTGGTTTTCTAGATGAGAATACATGCAGAGTCATTGCCGTGCAAATTTCCAGATTTGTACAAGTTGAACTAGTGACAGCATGAAAGGTGAAAAGGAGGATGATTTGGGATCTTTAAGAGTTTTTTTTTGTTGCTTGACTCTTGCAGAGAAACCTGACAAAGCATGCTTTCCACATGGTTAATGCGTTAACTTCCCAGCATGGATTATGTTTGTTTCATATCACTGTTGGAGGGCAGAATGAAGCAACGTGTGACTGCTCGGTTACAGAGAAACTGCTTCTCAAAGGAGACAGATGGACAGTTGGGATCCATCTGAGAAGTCCTGGCACTGATCGTAGCTCACAGGTCGATTAGATCAGAGCGGGCTTTTGCAACTTTAACATTTTCTTGTAACAGCAATTAAGTTGATCCTCACACAGTTTTCTGGCAAAGGGGATGAAAATAAACAAGCAGAGCGACTTTAGGTTATGTTATGTACAAACGATGTGTGGTTTGCAGACATATCTGAAAGGACACATGTTGTCAGGTTATGTTTATTAAGTGATCAGTACCACATTTTGATTTGTTTAGGTTTGGACACACTGTAAAAAAAATGTGGAGTATACATGTTTCTAAATCTAATGTTTTTTGAGGCAGGTGAATCTAATTGGTCAATCTGCTGTTCTTTTCCTAACTGAAAAATCTTTATGATTTAGTGCGTGCATTGCCATCAAATTTTGAAAATGAATTTGCTGTCTCCACATATTGAATCTGTCTGTCATTCTCAGAGAAGATCCAACTTTATTCATGTTCCCTTCAGGGTGGATTGTAAGACCTTTGCGTGACTTCTCATGTTGCACCATTATCAGGTCACCTGTGACCTCTCGGTCCACAAACTGACCTTTGACAGATAAAGCATGAATCCAGTGTGATGACAGTGGGGATTAGTGGGTCTGCAGGAGGCTTAAAGGACCATTACATTTCACAGAGACGTGGCCAAGGCTCCACAGTCATAATCAATAATGTTTAATGACATGGATCAGAGAGAGAGAGAGAGAGAGAGAGAGAGTATTAATACACAGCGTGTAGCATTAAGTGTTAGAAGTAATGTGATTGAAATGAAATGTGGATGAAAGGACTTAAGATGTCCCCATGTCGATGTTTACATCAAGAACAATCAAATCAAATGCACTCTGGATATTTCAGAACATTTTGTCTCTCTTTTTTTATGACTTTTAAATGACTTTCTTATGTCGTGTTTTTGATCAATCATTTGTATCCTTGTTGGTTGTTTCTGCTTTCCTTTCAGCATCACTCCGCTGCCTGATAGGGTTTACTTTTTATTTGCTCATTTATTTTTTCAAACTGTATTTTTCTTTCTGAATGATCATCTCCTGCTAAACTGTAGTGTTGTGTTTTATGGCCTGTCGTCTAAATCTCTCTCCCCCCTCTCTCTTTCTCACACAGATATGGAGGAGAGAACGAGTGCAGGATCATGGCCGAGTGGAAGTCGGTCCTCAAAGGTAAATTTTGACACAAATACCACATTTATAATGATCTATCACAAATCAAATTACTTGTATAAGTCGTAATATTTAAAGTGATGTTATTTCCATGTCTAGTCTACTGCCGCCTTCAATTCAATAAATGAGTCTGGCATCAAACTCTTCATCTTTTAGCCGTCTGTAAAAATATATATATATATATTTTTCAAAATAATAGAACATTTGTGTTTGATGTGCTGCTGTATTGAGAGGGGCAACATAGATATAAAAGAGAAACTGAGTTAAAAAAGACTCCAAGGCCATCCAAAAGTATCTCAATGACTGTATACTAATCAGGAAATCTAAGTCATGAATCAGTCAATCTTTACACTTTACAAAGAAGCAGGTAAAGAGCTTCCTCTTTGTTTTATTATCTACAAAGACCCAACATGAATCCATCACGAGCACTAAGCAACATTCAGCAAAAGTTACAGAGGAAAGTTAAAACGTCCTTTAAGAGGCAGAAACCTCGAGCAGAACCAGACTCATGATGAACAGACATCTGCTGAATCTTTGCTGGGCTTGGAAAGTGGGACAGAAGGAGATGCAGGAAGAAGTAGACAGAGACAAACAGAACAACAACAATGAAAAAGATTTATAGCTGCAATATCAGTAATAACAGTAAAAGTATGTGTTGTATTAGCAGCGACAGCTAAGTGTCATTATAGATTATATTTGTTCATTGTCATGTCTGACTCTTTCTACAGAGTTATGCAGAAGGGTCTCAGTACATGGCGTCACACGACAGCCTCTCACCTCCCTACACCAACTCCAGGCTTGCAGGTACATCACAGACCGTGTGTGTGTGTGTGTGTGTGTGTGTGTGTGTGTGTGTGTGTGTGTGTGTGTGTGTCTATTTTGCAATGCTTGTCTTTCTCTCCATCAACTTTGGATTCACTGTTCTGCCGGGTTTTGATCTGACCGTGTGTGTGTGTGTGTGTGTGTGTGGTGTGTGTGTGTGTGTGTGTGTGTGTGTGTGTGTGTGTGTGTGTGTGTATGTGTGTGTAAGTGTGTGTGTGTAAGTGTGTAAGTGCAAATGTGTGTGTGCAGAGAATTAGTGAAACCCTGGCGTACACCGGAGGAGACAGGTCATCTGGCATGCAGTTTCTCTCCCCCTCTCTCTCTCACTCTCTCTCTCGCTGCCCGCTGTGTGGAAAGTGCTAGGCGGCGTGTGCTCATTTACCCATGATGCTCTCTGCCTCTGGCTCTCCGATGTGGCGCCAGTTGTGAGCAAATGGCCACTGACACAGATAATCTGCCTCCCTCTCTCTCTCTCTCTTTCTCTCTCACACACACTGACATATTTAATCAGTCACACACACACACACACACACACACACACACACACACACACACACACAGAACTTAATTACCTTTGACTGGATGCATCAAATATGGAGGATGTCAGCTCTCAGCAATCTGAATATACCTGCTCTTTTTCTGCCTTGCTCTCTCTCTCTATCTCTCTCTCTCATTTGTTGGTTTTGTACTCTCTTTCTTATGAGGCGTTGGATATCTACTGTTGTGAAGCCACAAAAACTGAATTCATGTGTTTTATGACTTTTCTGGCCTTATGGAGTAGCGTTAAGACCCTTGTGACATGTTATGCATCATGATCATTTGGTAGTAGCTCATTATGTGGCTGCGAATAACGATTTTTCTGAATCTTACTTTTGGCAAAATGCAACAGTATAAAGAAAACACCACCCACCACCAGATCAATTATATGTGTTCCAAAAAAAAATCCCCCTCAAAGTTTCATTTTGTCTCACATCACATAGAACAAAAAGTAATTTTTAATTATTTGGCCTGTTTCCGTGCGGATGTCAATGCACGCTGTAAAAAGTTGAGTAAAGAAACGTCAAAACTTCCGAGTCGTGGGTTGGCGCTGTGGTTGGAATGATCCATTGTGTGTGCCATGTGTTGTGACAGTGTTGTGATTATGGTATGGAGCTGCAGAAGGCGGAGAGGGAAGAGGGCGATGCAGAGTCAGAAATGGAAATATTGCGTTCTTCATCTGGCACCAGGAGCCGCAATTTACTTTGATAATGATAACACTAAGAGACAGAGACAGCCGGGGATATGGAATACAAACACACACACACACACACACACACACACACACACACACACACACACACACACACTAACACATGCACAGTTTCACAATTTCTACTCTGTTGTAGAAAACATCCTTTCAGTGTTACCAGCCAGTCTTCTGATCTGGATAAATCAAATTGTCTTCTATGTCAGCCAGCGTTTCTTATCTTTGTTGTATGCCTTGATGGAAATTGCTTTGTTTCAATGCAAACCCCAAAAAAAACAGACAGTTTTCTTTATTTCAACATAGAGTGTTATCCCGAGATATGTTTCGAGCTTTAGAGGCGAGCTAGCCTTGCTTAATTCTGCAAAAGCAAGCCCCACAAATGCAGAAGTTGAAACTTGATGCACTGACCAGAGTTGACAGCTTCAATCTCTTTATGATTTGAAAAAAAGCTGTGAAGCAGGCAAGCCTCCATTTGAACTGGAAGCTTCACTTTACCATGGAGATGCTTGGACATTTAAGGTTAAATATAAGACCTTTTAAGACAGTTAGCATGCGTTTGTAAAGTGGTGCCTAGAGGTTAAAAGGGATTTAAGGAACAATAAGTAATACAGCTTCATTGGTTGCTGTTAAGGTGTTGATAAGTAGTTGCTGAATGGTGAGTTGGCCATGGCTTTATGCTATATGGGCATTATTAGCTGTTGCTGAGGTGTCCCTGTGTGTTTGCTGTGTGCGTACTTGGTTGTGTGGTTAAGTTATTTCTTTGTTTGTTGTCAGGGTGATTGTTTCTGCGTCCCTATCTTCCATTCCTTGAGATGTCATTCTGATGAATTTCTTACCTTTAATTAACACAAATGTTTAATATACAGCCTACTCACAGAGGACATACAAGAGGTAGATGTACCTGTAGTACTTTGAATGGCTAAGTAATCGCAGGAGATGCCTCAGAAGTCTTAATATCAGAATGTGGGGGGCGTCAGCGGCCTAGAGGTTAGTTCTAGCATCCCATGTAAAGGTTCAAATCTCACCTGTGGCTCCCATCCAACATGCCATTTCCCACTTTCACCGACCTGATTTCGAGAATAAAATGTTGCTTTTGACTGTTTTGAGATCATGTTTTTCCGCTTCACTATGAGCATCGAACAGAGTATGTTTACCCTCCTACTTTGTCTGGACACAGAGTGAGAAGGATGTGGGTGCAGGGCAGGAATATCATACATTTTGAGAAGAGCGCCGGTGATATCAACAGAGCCTTTCTGAAAAGTTGAAAGATTTTCACTCGCAGCAGCCGCACAAAAAAGATGCTAAGAAAGAAGCGCTAGGTGGACACAAATGGCACTTTGATAAAGATCTAAAACTTGACAAGCTGAGTGAGAATGAACCCGTGAATAAGCTTCAAAGCGTAAGTTTCTGGGACCAAATCTTATAATATTTAATGTTGTAAGCCTGTCATAAAGGCTCACATGGTTATATATGTCACCTGAACACTTGAAAACTGCAGGCATGAGTGTCTCTTACCCATAATCCTTTGCATTTTGTGTGAGTGAATATGGTCCGCTCAGATAATTCACGAGACAAAGACTCTGCGTTCTCACCTGAAATGAACTTGAACAAAAGAAGAAAGAAACACTGCAGAGTTTAATGAACCCAGCATGAACATGTGTGAGTGTGAACGCAGCCTCGCTCGCTCGCTCGCTCTCACTTTCTCGCTCTACCCCTCTCTAACCTTGTCTGTCTTTCTTAACCCCCCACCATCAGATTAGAGTGATGTTATGCTCTAGATAATCAGCGAAGGGATTAGTGTCATCTCAGCGACCCCACTAGATTAATCTGCCGACACACACACACACACATGGAGACACACACACACAGACGCACATTGGAACACACACACAGAAAAACACAGCGATCCTGCAATCAAAAGATGTATGTGTGTGTGTGTGTGTGTGTGTGTTGTGTGTGTGTGTGTGTGTGTTTGTGTGTGTAAATGTGGACTTGAACTAGAATGTGAATGCTTGTGTTTAATGCATGAGTTTTCGTTTGTCGCTTATTGTGCGTTTTGATGGTTGCTGGGTTTGTGTGTGACATTTTGAAACCAGCTTCTGTGTGTGTGTGCATGTGTGTTTGTGTGTGTCTGTGGGTTACAGTGGTTTGAGTGTGTGTTTCCTGCAAATTGACAGGTTAGTGTGTCAGATTGTGTGATGAAAGCTTCTGTATGAATGGGGTTTTATGCGGTTAAATGTTGGTGTGTCTTTTTTTTGCAAATTAGTGTGCGTGCTTGTGTAATTTCTGTGTGTGTGTGTGTGTGTGTTCACGGTCAAGCGATGTGTGTGTACCTGAGTGTGCGATTCTGGCTTTCATCTCTGTATGTGTGTGTGTTTTGTCTTTGTGTGCATTGTGTTTATGAATGCTCCATTGTGTGTATGGGTTTGTTTTCAGGTTGTCAGTCTTTGTGAAACATTTTGTGATGCGTGCTTCGTGTGTGTGTGTGTGTGTGTGTGTGTGTGTGTGTGTGTGTGTGTGTGTTAGGAAACATGTTGTTGCGTGCTGCATGTTTGAGTGAAAATGTGAAAAAGTTTTTCTCTTTGACTAATTTTATTCTCGCGTGTTTAAAGTTTTGTGTAAATTTTGACGCTTTGTGTTATTCTAGCCTTCATGTGTGTATGTGTGGTTATTCAGTATAGGAGTGTGTGTGTGTGTGTGTGTGTGTGTGTGTGTGTGTGTGTGTGTGTCTACCTGTGTGAAGTGGCTTCGCAGAGCAGGTGCACCACCATGAACCCCCTCCTTCCCTGTAACTGTCACCTACATAGTAAATGAGCAGCTCGGTGGTTTCAGCCTGCGAGCACATTCTGTTCTGTTCTAAATAAACGATCTAATGTGGCTTCAGTCGGATTCTGATGCACACCACCTCTAATCTGGTATTAATAATAAAATACACTCAGTATGTTGACATGAAGTTACAAAACGTCAACAAAACCTGTTAGTCCGACTAAAATTATACTAACTCAAATTTCGTAAAGTCGTACTAACACACCTGGATAAATGTGATGGAGATCAATTGACTGTAAAGTTGTTCATGTTTTTACTTTTGGACACACAACCCCACTTTGCCGTTTGCTAACTTGCTAACTTGTAAGCAAGGTTGAATGGTAACTAGTTAAAAGAGTCAGTACCACGCTAGCAGAGTCATATCGGGTATAAGAGTACAGTAATATTTCTGCACTTTGTCAAGTCAACATGTTTCTTTGTCTTCTCACAACGTCTTTGTTCTCTGCATCTCAACAAATTCATGTTTTTGTTGTTTTACAACAGCGCACGGTGCAAAGTGTACCAAGATGAATTCCTGTACTTTAATGCAATTAATGGCAATCCATCCAATGGTTGTTGAGGCATTTAAGAAAGCATAAATGTCAACTTCATGAAGTCAATTTAAGAAAAATCAGGAAATTTGTGGCACTTTCTAAAGCTGCTGAGATCATTTAGTGATGAACAAAGTGATGTTCTTGCTGGAAACCTTAGATCTGATGTACTGCTGGGATACTCTACCGGCTGTGGCTCAGTGGTAGTGTAGGTCATCTCTCAACCAGAGGATCGGGGGTTTGACCCCCAGCTCCTGCAGTCACATGTCCATCTGTCATTGGGCACTGTACCCCAAATTGCTTCTGCTGTTCCTCTTGGCCAGGTCACTCTTGTCAGTGAGATTCTTAATCTTGATGAGGTTCTCCTGGCTAAATTCATTTTAAATTCAATTAA